CTGTTGTTGGAAGGATTTTGTTAATTAGTGTTCTTGGAATTGGTAATTCTGAGAGGGGCAACTTCAGCTGGTTTTACAGGGATCTGCTTGTTAGTGTGTCTGTTCAAATAACTGAGAAATACCAAGTGGCATTTTTATTAATTTTTCAGAGAATCACCTGCTCTCTTTAGACCTGTTCACTTAGGAGAGTTTTACCAATGTACAAAATTGTAGTTCAGTTTAAGAACTGTGAAAGTGAGTGTGTATAGAGATATTGACGTATTTCTTTTTGCAAAGCTTAATTTTTTCACAGTGCTTTTAGGAATATTATTCCACATTATCCTATGGAATGGAAAAATAGATGACAAGTGGATGTATCCTTAGTGGGCCTGCTTATCAGCAAAGGCTGCATAGGTCACATCAGCTGCAAATTAAGTGTAGTTTATTTTGTTCTTATCACTAAAATGAGGTGCTGTTATAAGAACATTATTTCCATAGCTTTGGTAGTGATGCATTTTTTTTTTTCTAAATCTTATGCTTAACTGGGTAATCTATAATAAATTCTAAGGTCAGAAATTGCCTGAAAATACAAGTAGGTACTCTGGTAATTATGTAAAACCTGCTAGGTGCATTATTTCTATTAACTACAAGGTTGGTTATGCATCAGTGGCTGCCTCAAAACATCAGGTATGTCTATGGTGAATTTTTAATGCAGTTCACAAAGGTCGCTTTCCATCTGCCTACTGCTTAATGATGTCTAAGCTTAAGATGGTGACAAATAATTCAAATGAACTTCTACCCAAGGCTGTTCCAGCATGCTTACAGTTAGTAGAAAAAAACACAAACTGTATTCAAACCAGGGTCTGTGGTATCTGACTTCATTAACAGTGATCTCAACATCCTGATTAATTGCATTCTGGTTTGCTCTTATTTGCTTTTAAACATTTGATGAAACTGAATCCTTTTCTTTGATCAACGCTTTGGAGCTTTAAAACTTTTTGGAGGTGTCTGCTGGGGTCTACTGTTTCAAACAAAACTTTTTCTGTGTTTGCTACCGTTCTCAGAATTGCCTATGTTTTCTGAATTAGGATGTGTTCTTAGTTAAAAGTGGTGTTCTTAGAGAAGCTGGCTGGCTTCTTTCCTGAAACTCATTGCTTAATAAAACTAGTTGTCTTCATGCCGCCCTGATTTACATTTCTGCTAAAAAGTCGTAGCAACTTGCCATAATTGAGAATATCAGAAGTACATTATGCTGCAAATTTATTTTGTCCTATTAGATGCCCACACTCCTAGAAGACAAGTGGAAATTAATGAAGTAATGTAACTCCTCATTCTCAAGGTCTGTGATTTGATTTCATCAAATGAATATGCCCTGGTGATAGCTAGCATGTTTAAGAGCATTTTTAAAAAGCAAAACACAGGCACATGTGCAAACCTTCAGTAGCTTCAACTTTGTCAGCTAATGGAAATGCAGCATCCTCACCTGAGATAGCTTTGTTGCTGAGAAGAGGTGTTCTTACTGTTTCACACCCAGAAACTCATTGCTCTTCCAGAAGAGTCACTACCAGCTGATCAAATTTTGTGGGTATTTGGGGCCAGAAAACCAAAAAGATTAAAAATGTATCCACCACTGTGTTTGTATGGATGTGCTGTTTAGTTTGGGGGTTTGTTGGTTTTTGGTTTTTTTTTTTTGTTTTTTTTTGTTTTTTTTGGGGGGGGGTGTGGGGATGGTGGTGGTGGTCCTGTGGGTTTTTTGGGTTTGGTTTTTTGGTTTGTTGTTTGTGGGGGTTTTGGTTTTGGGTTTTTTGGGGGGTTTTTTGTTTTGCTTTTTGTTTGTTTGTTTGTTTGGGGTTTTTTGGGGTTTTTTTTTTTTTGGCAGGGGGAGAGGGGCATGAGCATACTATCTCTAGATAGCAAAAGAGAAAGCCTAGAACTGATTTCTTATGTTTTGGCCTATTAAGTCCATAGAAAAACAAAGCAGTTAAGTTTCTGCAGGAGATAAAGGGAAGGTAGAAAATAACATGCTTATTTCTGGATATTACTCTAATTTATCCTTCTTCTCCTTCATACTCATCAGTTTAGAGACTGAGATATTTCTGTTCTTGCTTTTCATGTTGTTATCCATTTTGTCTTTGAGAAGGTCTCAGAAGGACTCTGTTGTTCATGAGGCATCTCCAATGATGAAAGATGCAAGCGGTATTTCCTTCCAGACCTATGTAGGCTATTTTTTCCCCAGAGAACATTTCAAAACATTAACTGAACTGGAAGGTACTTAGCAAAGAAATGTGGTAAGATGGTACCTACATGATGACCCTATGAAATATTTTGGTTTGTGGCTCCTATTCTTTTGTTGCACCCCTTTTTGATTGTGGGGAACTAGAGACTTAAAGATGAGGGAGAGAAAGCATCCTTCAGAAAAACAGATCTGTGTATCACAGGTTTCTTAATGTATATTATAGCATCTGTTGTATTTACCTGGAACTTATAGTGTCTGGGTACCTGTTTTCTGGCTTTTTTTCTCCTCACTCGTGTTATGGTTTGGATGGAAGTAGTTGGATTTGTGCATGGAAACTTCTGTGTTTGTTTCTACTGGCAGAATTTTGTGTGTCCAGCATCCCCAGAGAAGCAGCTTCAAAATAAGAAAAGTAATAGCTATTTCTTTGTAGTTTGATTTTTTTTTTTTCCCCAGGTTGCACTCTCATGAAAGAGGCTTAATATTTTAGGATCTTTTGCTGGCTTGTGTATTTCTTGGCTTGTGTCTTCTGACCTTTTGCTGTCATTTCCCCTCCAAATTTTAGAAGAGAGGAACCTGAGAGACTCTGGGAGAAGTAGAAAAAAAAATGGTGTTTAGAAGGTGTGTTGCCTCGGTATCTTGCTAATAAGGATTCTTCTTGTGGAAACTTGACACTGCTTTCTAACTGCCCTTTTGAGTAGTCTGAAAGAACGTCTTTGGCAGACTCCTTCTGACTACCAGAAATAATGATATAAAGACCTAAGAAGTTCTCCTCTTAGAGAACCGAGGTCTGCAGGGAGCCCCTTGCAAGCGCTGCTGAGGAGGGCTGACCCGGGGCTGGGAGAGGTGAAGGTGCCTGCTGAAAACTGCTGCAACACCGGGCTCCTTTCATAACCTTGTTGGGAGAGGCTTGTGAGGAGACCTTTGGCAGACATTTAGCTACCTACTGACGTGCCTGTGCTGAGCTGGAAGATGAGCACTGTCCCTTTTACGGCAAAGCTGGTCTTCATAGCAGCTTTTCAAAACATCAGCTCCTTAGTTCTGTCTAGCTGCAGGCAAGTGTAATGGAGAGGACAGAGGCTGGACAGAGGCGAACTAGAGAGAAGTCAGGAAGACAGGTTAAGCAGAAGACAAAATGGTAGCACTTGGGGGCAGCAGGGGAGATGAAAAAGCAGAATATGGGAAAGAGCTCTTTTGGAGCAGGAAGGTGGCAGGGATTTGGGGAGCTTCTTCCCCATCTTCTATTTTATGCTGCGTCTCACATTTGGTTGTAAGTTGGGAATGAAACTGAGCAAGAACTGATTAACTCGGGTTCAAATTTACTCTGTTCCAAGGATATCTTCTGGTGTTCTGGTGGGTTTTTTTATCTCTCCTGTTTCTGGAGCAGTAGTTGGTAGTACTGCGCATGTTCTTATTTTAAGAGGGTCGGCCAAGGCCCTCACAAAACTTTGGGAGGAGCGTGCCATGGGTGATAACTGCTTTACAGTGCTTTGCACTTCATGTGGGGAAACCCCAGGTTATTACAGGGAAACACAGGTTAAAATTAGTAGGAACTAAAATAGCAGTATCAGTGATGTATCTTAAAGCTGTACTCCTTTTTTTTACAACCTCTGTCAAGTAAGTGAATACTTAATGACTC